TGAATAATCCACCAATTTCTTAAAATTAAACACTATCTACAGATTTGCATTGAAGCGTTTTTTACGATAGTGATTCTAATCACTGTCAGATATCATCTATCTAGTCCCAACTATGCCATGCTCACACTATGCTGCATCCTACTGTACTACCGTTTTTTTAAATAATAATATATATTTATATTTTTAATAAATTATCTGGAATTTTTTAGATTATGTAGTTTTATATGAAATTAAATTACTTTATAATAAGAATGTTTTTATTTCTACTTCCTATTCAGCTTTATTTAAATTAAAAAAACCATAATTTATTTGTAATGATTTTATAAATTATATAATTCGCTAAAAATTAATTGTTTTTCTACTCATTGGACGCAAAGTTAATTACCGAAACTCTTACAAAGGAAAATTTTACTAATATAAAGTATTTGACCTTGTAAAACGTATTTTAAATTTTTAAGAGACGTTGGGAAAAAAGTGTCTTCATTTGAATGGTTGGGTATTCGTTAGATTATTATCAACGTACAATGTACATTAAATAATAACATTGGGGGTGTTAGCCGTAATTGTTTTAGTAATAATTTCTTCGGGTCTTCAACCTCATAAACATGAACCTTTTTCGCTGTTTTACAATTTGAACTTTCTCAGTCACATGTACGTAATTGTAAATTTTCTAACAGTATCTAATGCATTTTCCTGGAAAGTGTCATTAACCGCGACCAGTCGGCTTATAATTCACTAATTCTATTTACACGTGGACAAACATTATAATAAACAAATTATAGACATACGTTCTATGTATACTATATAGCCTACGAAATAAAGTGTGGTCTTCTTTCAATGTCAATGTCGTACCTGTGGGTTCTGCTGTTATGGTTCGTTATACGTACAATAATGAGATAACAATACTGGAAACATTGTCGTTGACCGGTAAATCTAATAATCACAAGCTCTACCTTTAAACAATGATTACGTTGTCGGAGGTATATTTCGTATTATGTAATACGACAGATTAAGTATAATTTTTTTATTCTAACAATTTTTTAAAATTCAAATTTTTCTGGACGACATTTATGTATGTTAACAATTGTTATAAAATTTTACTCATTTGAATAATTTTTACAATTTTAATTTGTGCATTAATGAAAAACTATCGTTCATGAGTTGACCAGTTACAGATAGAGCCAAAACACTGATGTAGCCTTTTGTATTGTTTTATACCCTTTTTTGCTCACTACATCATATTTTTATAAAAAAAAATTTTAAAAGCCACACCTAAATTTGCCGACCTGGATAGCCACATAATTTATTCTTGCTTTAAATTAGCCACCCTGGTAATAGGAATAAATTAAACATTAATATCAGTAATAAATTATATTATTTCTATTTCCCTTAATTTCGTCATTTTACAACTAGAAATTGTTATTTGTTTTAAAATCGATAAATCTTTAAGTTTTATTTTTTAATAAAATCATTACCTACTTATAATTATACTGTTTATTTAGTATCTAAAACAGGTTTTTGATAATTGATTTGATATATACCATGCGTTTTAGAACTAAATTATTGTCAAAAGAATCGGCTGTCATAATGTTATGTTTACTACTTTTTTAAGTGTTTTCATTAGCATATCGAATGCTTCACAATAGGTTTAATCATTAACCAATATAATTAATTTTAAAGTGAAACATTAAGAACTTTTCAATGTTTTTGATGTCCATAAATTAAAACCTTACATCAAATATTTTATCAAACGTAAAACATATAACAAACGTAACTTTTATTTGTACATCATTATACAGGCATAAATCCAAAGGAACCATCTCTCTGTAAAAAATAAATAAATTCATATTAACCCATTTGATAATAATCATTTTTTTTGTCCCCCTGAAGGGAAAAAAATTATTAATTATAGGAGGAGAAATTTCACCAACTATATATTATGAGATACTTATACTAATAAGATAACTTATGAAGTATTAAACAAACTCTAATTACATTTAAAATAAAATAAATTATTTAAATTACTTAACTATGATTAATTTTAAGAGAAGTATTTGTAATGTATATATGATAGTACTATTAATAAATTAATTTTTAAATGTAACAATTAATAGTTTTGTTATATCAAACATATAAATAAATAACGCAATAAATTGTATAATTGTTATATTTAAAAAGTAATTTATTAATACACACAATTTTTTTTTAAGTCTAAAAAAACCTTGATTAAACATATCCATTTCTTGAACTTAAAACACTACGTTCCGTAATGTACACCACAATGTCATCACGTCATCTTACCAGTAAACTACTTTTCTGTTTATATGAGTCCTACTGCCACTCATGACATCATCATATTGCATGCTGTTCACGATTATGTTGACATACAAAGAATATATACCAAATAGTACACGTACTTTTTACACGCTGTTTAATAAAGACGTGACTTCAATAAAAAATCTAAATATTTTCTGAAATATTTTCTTCGTATCCATATATATAGAATTACATTTAACATTCAATCGATTTAATTTTAAGTAAAATTTTATCGAATTTTGACGTACTAGTTTTTAGGTTTAAGTTTCGTCAACAATTAATTATTTAAGCAAGTAAATTACATTGTAATTAAGTAACTTTTTATCATAAATTTAATGTAAATTTATCATTTTCTATAGTGAATAATTTTTAAGTAGTTAATTCCTAATCAATTTCGTAACTTATCATTTAATTTAATGACCAAAAAAATGTAATTTAGCCAACACTGAACATATAGGTCATAGGTCATATTTTGTGATAGATTTCATATATTTATGATTAATAACTATTAATTTTTGAGACAAATCTTACATATATTAATATCCATATGTTTTCTATTATATCTTTTAATAAAAATTTGATTTAATATTTTAATAAATAATATATAACAGCAGCAGCTTTTCAATGAATAATATGGCGAGCCCTGTGCCGTTTATTTGATTTGCATAGTCATATCGGTCAACGGCCAACCATGACCTCATAAAATACGATCTAATAGTATAAAAATGTACAATACTAACTATTATTTCCGGGTCATTATTTTTAATATAATTGAGAGTTTTCTTTATAAATTATAATACAAGTTTAAAATGAGTGTAATTCAAATAAGTTGACTTTGCCTTATATTATAAAAAAAAGTAAACAATAATAAAGAAACCCAGAACAGTTAAAATTTAACATAGTAGATACTAATATAAATTAAAATGTGTCATTAATTAACATCACCATTAAACAGCTCAATGCGAATATATAAAAAGAAAGTATTTTAGGGCAGGAAGATTGGTCCGTTAACCTTCCTTTTTATATTCGCCTATAGAATAATGTTAGAATAATTAATAATGTTCTCGTAACTTTTCTAAATTTTGTAATTTTCATGCAAAAGTCATACTTTTTTATTTAATATCATTACTACATACAAAGAAGACAACCAAAAAAATACAAGTTGTTCTTCTTTTTTCTCGCCTTAATCCCAACTACTTGGGATCGGGCACATATTATCATATTATTATATAAATTATATAATATAATTTAAAGTGACAGGAATTCCGAAACCATTGAAAAGTTGACTTATCATAAAAGTTTGCTATTTTTAATTCTCTTTTGTAAGCTAGTCAAGGTCGGATATTCAAAAAAAAAATTTATTTTGATTTAAATATTTTTTTAAAATTTTAAATTAAAAAACAAAAAACATGGATATGGATGATTCCATATCCTAAATTTTTTTAGGGAATTTCCCCTATTTACTATGAATGGAGGATTTTTTTTAATTTTGACAATGATTACTTCAACTAGATACTATTTGTAATTTTTTAACGTATTGTTAAGCAAAATTTTTCCAGTAGGTGTTGAGAAACCTTAGTTTTGCATCGAAACTAAATATTATTAATAAATATTTTAACAATCATAGGTTCAAACGAACCTGTAAAAAATATTGAAATAATAATCGAGTTATTAACAAAATAAAAATGAATTGTATGTATAGTAAAGTATTTTCAAAATAATTTTTAATTGGAAAATTGAAATATTGTTTTTTTGGTAAGGGTAGTAAAATATTTTCTTAATTCACTACTTTCCTGAAATATAGTATTTCATTCTAGAATGTAAGTAATTTTAGAGATAAAAAGAAAAAATATATTTAGTTGGTTCACTATTATAGTACTTATATACTTGTATACTATTCTACTTATATACTACTATATTTTTTTGTTTAGATTTTATTTTTAGAGAAGATTTAACTCAGGAATTTCTATTAATTCTCCGTTGGGTATTTATACTAATTGATTCACTACCTATGTATCACATGTTATCTTCAAAAGTATAATTTTTTAATTTTCAAAATTTATTAGTACCTACTTTATTTAAGAAAAAAAAATAGTTTATCTCTCTTGAATTTTTTGTCAACTTAGTGTTTTTAATGAAGACATACACGTTTAACTAACTTAAAAATAAGAAAACAACTGGTCGGTAACAAATTTTTAACTATTATAATTGTTCCAAATATAAAATGTTTATTTTAGTTTGCTAGTTGAAAATGTTTTTTGGTAATTAAAAATATAAATTTAACACTAGTTATATGGTATACGGTATTACAAAAGAAAGTAACTACTGTTAACCCAAGAAATGTATGAAACTAAAAAATACTAAAAATAATTTTCTTAACACAATTATTATTTTAAAAAAAATTAAAAAAATCACTCTGTATAAAAGCGAATGTATATACGTCTACCCTTTATACATTACTTCACTATTTATCCGGAGTTTTGAGTATACTCTCACGCAGGTTTCTTACATGGTTTCTTACATGGTTTATTATCTTATTATATTTATTTTAATCTCTTTATAAATGAAAATCAATTTTTTTTCAAACAAATATATACTATAAATAGTTTATAAGTACTATTTTTATATTATTTAAATAACTAAATCTTTCAAGATTATTATTTTTAGTAAGGTTTATGTTTCAGGTGTATATAAATTGTTCCTTGATTGATAGTTAACAATTTGATACTACATATGGCGGGATTAAACAGCCGAATAATCGGCTTTGTATTTCTATTTTATCACTTATGCCACGGTGAGTATTTATTATAATATTTAAATATCATATTAATTTAAAATTATTTATTGCTATTAAAATATTACAATAATTATTTTCATTTTATTTTTAGTTATTATTTCAGTTGAGAGCCGTAGTGAAATAAAAGAAAATCAGAACTCTAACAAAGTAGCATTTAAATGTTCTAGTGAAGGATTTCATGCCCATCCGTCAGATTGTACAACATTTTATAGATGTGTTAATTTAGGTACTGGGTCTACGTTCACGAAATTTCAGTTCCAATGTTCCCCTGGAACTGTTTTTGATCCCGAAAACTCAGTTTGTGTCCATCCATCGTTTTCAAATAGAGAAGAATGTAAAAATATACAATTCAGTAGCCCAGAACCTGAACCAAATGTAGATGAGACCAACATCTCATGGAATTCATCGCCCAATGAAGCATCAAATCCAACTAGTACTAATTTTCCAAATTATATTAATTACGGTTCTAATCCCGATGAATATGCAGCCCAACCATCTTCAGTTTATGATTATGGAAAACCACAAAATGGATATTCACAACAACAATCATATGCTAATCAACAGTACTCTGCTTATGAACAGTACCAATCGAGTTCTTTGCCAAATAATTATTTTTCTCAACAGTACGAACACCCGAATTCTCGACCAAACTATTATCAATATCCACAATCTATCTATCCTAAGCCTTCAGCTATGCCCCAACAAAATTTAAATCAACCACCACCCTCAGGATATTTAACACAAGCCCAGCCAAATAATAATAAACCAATTCAATCTAATAATGGCCAAACTGAAATTGACAAAGAATCACCTCAATCAAACTATGAATCGACTTTTTCTACCAACAGACCGAGTCAGTCTAATTATGGCTCAACTCAGTCAAATAATGAAATACCACAAATAAACAACAATGGATCACCTCAATCAAATAATAGTCCTTATCAAGTACCTTCACCCTCACAACCTAGTTTCAATCAGCCAATTCAACCTGGTGTTAACGAACAACAAAATTCTGCTTCATCTGTTTCTGAACCAAATGTAAATGAACAATCTACTATTCAACCAATTCAAAGTATATCTAATAACACAGATTGTACATCTGAAGGATTTTTCCCAGTAAAAGAAAAATGTAAACAATTTTACAGATGCGTAGATAATGGTAAAGGATCGTTTACCAAATACAATTTTGAATGTGGACCTGGTACAGTATGGGATTATAATCAGAATGCTTGTAATCACGCAAGTGCATCTGGACGAACGGATTGCAAGCCAGAAATAGATAATGGTTCAAGTGACCCAGAACCCACATCTACTGAAAACAATGCGTCATCAACGGAAAGCAATAATAATGAAACTGATAACGAAGTACCAAATGAAACTTCTGTAAATGGTTTAAATGCAGAAAATGGACCCAAATGTATATCTGAAGGATTTCATCCATACAGTAAAGGATGCAGTAAGAAATTTATCAGATGTGTAGATAAAGGTGATGGCACGTTCATTAAATATGAATTTGAATGTGGTGAAGGTACTGTATGGGATAGTAGTCAAAATACTTGCAATTATCCAGGTGAGGCTGGATGTGAATCACCAACTTCGGTTACTCCATCAACTTTACAGTCTGATTCAACTGTTTCACAACAAATTACTACTTCAAATCAATGGTCCACATCATCATCATCTAGTTCTTCGTCAATGTCAAGTTCTAGCTCAAGCTCCAGTTCTAATAGTTCATCAAGCAGTCAATCGTCAACTACTTCAATTTTTGGCGAACAATCAAATACAGGAAATAATTGGCAATCAACTTCACAAGGATCTTCATCTAATAATCAAAATACAGCTACAACTGCAACTATGAGTCAAGGATCAAGCCAAACAACAAATTCAAACAACAACCAACAATCGACAAATTCTGGTTTCAATCAAACTACTAATAACGGATCAAATCAACAAACGACAAACAGTGGATCTAACCAACAAACTACTAATAACGGATCAAATCAACAAACGACAAACAGTGCATCTAACCAACAAACTACTAATAGTGGATCAAATCAACAAACAACAAACAGTGGATCAAATCAACAAACGACAAACAGTGGATCTAACCAACAAACTACTAGTAGTGGATCTAACCAACAAACAACAAACAGTGTATCTAACCAACAAACTACTAATAGTGGATCAAATCAACAAACAACAAACAGTGGATCTAACCAACAAACTACTAATAGTGGATCAAATCAACAAACGACAAACAGTGCATCAAATCAGCAAATTTCAAATCAAGGAAATACTCAAACAAGTAATAAACCCACCAAACCAAACTCTTCTACATTCAAGCCAACCACTCCAATGACAACTACTAAGAAGCCCATTACTTTTACAACTACTAAACCTAATAGCCAAACAGCAACTATAAAACCATCAATACCAACAACACAGAAAGTAACAACGAGTACAAAGCCTTTAATAACTAAGCCTATCACTCAAACGTCGACTAAACCAACACCATCAAGTAGCAACCCTAATACTAATAAACCAAATATGTCTACAATTAGTTCTTCGACTCCAAAACCAACAAAAATACCAGATTCTAGTTCAACAACAAAGGTGCCACCTAGTACAAGTGTTTCCTCAATATCTTCAGAGAATACAGCAACTACAAATAATGTATCAAATAAACCAGACACTTGTACTTCGGAAGGATTTTTCCCCGATACTAAAGTTTGTAACAAATTCTATCGATGTGTTAGAAATGGAAATGGATTCACTAAATACAACTTTAATTGCGGCCCAGGAACAGTGTGGGATCCCATAAATAATGTATGTAATCATCCATGGGCAGTCGATAGAGATTGTTCAAATATAACTTCCTCATCAGAAAATCAGTCAAATATAAGTCCAAGTTCAGAAAGTTCAATATCAAGTCAAACCAATTCACCTGAATCTATTAGCTCAAATCAGTCACCTTCTCAAACTACAAACAAACGCCCAACATCTCAAAAACCAACTACTACAAATAATAAGCCTTCCTCGCAGACTACACCCAATGAACCATCTTCTCAAAAACCAACTACTACAAATAATAAGCCTTCCTCGCAGACTTCACCCAATGGACCTTCTTCCCAAAAACCAACTACTACAAATAATAAGCCTTCCTCGCAGACTTCACCCAATGGACCATCTTCTCAAAAACCAACTACTACAAATAATAAGCCTTCTTCGCAGACTTCACACAATGGACCATCATCTCAAAAACCAACTACTACAAATAATAAGCCTTCCTCGCAGACTTCACCCAATGGACCATCATCTCAAAAACCAACTACTACAAATAATAAGCCTTCCTCGCAGACTTCACCCAATGGACCACCTTCCCAAAAACCAACTACTACAAATAATAAGCCATCCTCGCAGACTACACCCAATGGACCATCTTCCCAAAAACCAAATACTACAAATAATAAGCCTTCCTCGCAGACTTCACCCAATGGACCATCTTCCCAAAAACCAACTACTACAAATAATAAGCCATCCTCGCAGACTACACCCAATGGACCTTCTTCCCAAAAACCAACTACTACAAATAATAAGCCTTCCTCGCAGACTTCACCCAATGGACCGTCTTCCCAAAAACCAACTACTACAACTATAGAATCTTCTTCGGTAACACTAACAGAAAATATATTATCTACAACTTTGTCGCCTCATGAACAAACTTCTACTACAAACAATGAGACATCAACTACTCAAAGTAGTTCAAACAATGCTACTGCACCATGCAATGTAACACAAAAACCTCAAACCAAAATAACATGTAATAAAAGTGGATTCTATCCTCACCCTGATGACTGTAAAAAATTTTATAGATGTGTTGACTGGGATGGAGAAAAGGGCCAACGTTTTTCAGTATATCATTTTGATTGTCCATCCGGTACTATATTCGATCCAAGTCTAGATACATGTAATCACGAAACGTCAGTTTACCCTCCAAGAATTTGCTCTGGCTCCAGTGGATCCCAAACCATTCCAGATAGCAATACAACAGATTCTCCGTCGACGACTTCTGAACTTACCACGATTTCTGAAACAAGCCCAGCAATATCAACTTTTTCTCCTACAGAAACTACTGATCCATCGGAACCAGATAAAAATCCCTCAACCACAACATCTGAAACAGAATCGACAACAAACAGTCAAACAGAAACAAATCCAACTACATTAAATCCATTTGAAACAAATCCTACTACAGCTAATCCTGTAGAAACAAAACCTCCCATTACAGATTCATCAGAAACAAATCCAACAACAATTGATGCATCTGGAACTAATCGACCAACAGCTAACCCAATAGAAACTACCCAACCAGAAACTAACCCAACTGAAACTAACCCAACAGAAACTAACCCAACTGAAACTACCCAACCAGAAACTAACCCAACAGAAACTACCCAACCAGAAACTAACCCAACAGAAACTACCCAACCAGAAACTAGCTCAACAGAAATTACTAAACCAGAAACTAACCCAACAGAAACTACTCAACCAGAAACCAATCCTACAACAGAATCCTCTATTACCACATTAACTCCTGATAATTCAAATAAGTGTCCAGAATTAGAGCCGAATCAAGTAGCGCTAGTTTGTCCAACTGGATTTAGAAGACATCCTAATAACTGTAATCTTTTCTACCAGTGTAGTATATCAAACAATGATATAAAGGTTCTAGTATTAGCTTGTACAAATGGTACATATTATGATCAGAGGAAAATTCAATGTCTACCACCTAATGAAGCTGAATCGTGTTCATCAAGTAATAACATAGATGTTCGTTCAGGACTTCTTGGCGAATCGACACAAACAGTAAGTTTTATTGTATTTCATGTTCTAATTTTTATTTTATGTAAATTATCATTATATTTATATTGAAAATATAAAATTTTAAAGATTCAGATTGAGCCATATCAACAGCTATGTCCATCTGAAGGTATATTTGGATCACCAAACGACTGCCAGTCATTCATTAAATGCTCAAAAACCGATAAAAATACATTAAGTGGTATGTAACGTAATATTTTACAAGTTAAAATGTCATAAACTCGATTAATAAACAATTAATATATTTTGTCATAGGACAATTATATCAATGTCCTGAAGGACAAAGTTTCTGGGAAAGCACCAAGAAATGCGAGCAAAATCGTAAAATCTCTATGTGTAATAAGCTAGGTCCAAAGGTAAATTGGAAAACCAGTTTAGCACCAATGCTTGAAGAATTCTAAAGATCAATAAAAAAGAATAATCCGCTCAATAATTAAGTACATAATAATGTTTTTAAAATATTGTTTTAAATAACTCTTCGAGTGTAAATTACTTATTTTGAAAAATGTTTCAAAAATTTTTTTAAGAAAGCTTTGAAATTATAACTTTTTTTTATGGTAATAATTTAAAGCTAGCTGGTTATCATATCAGTTTCTATACGTGATCTTAATCTAAACAATTATTAGTTTAATACAATTTCTAATTGTGCCATACTGTATATGATATTATAAATGTATATTTGTTTAAATTTTTGAAACATTTTTTAAATATTTTAAAATTAATTTTTTTTTGAAAACAGTCAAAAGATCAATAAATTTATTATGATTATATGTATAAGGTTAGGTACTCTTTTAGTGATATTATAAAATAAATAGGTAACTTAATATTAAAAATGTATACTGTAAATATTGTACAAAAATAATTATGTAAAAATTATTTAAATATATTAATTTAATAAACAAAAAAACAATCTACTTCGATATTTTTCTTTATAATATATGTAACATTATTACAAGTAACTTCATTTTTAGTATAAACTGTAAAGAAACAGATAATGACAATAAAATTAATGAAATACGTCGATTTTACATAAGATAGAAGAGACACTTTTGAAAAAAATGAGTTAAGGTACGAAATAAATTTTAAAAATTAAGTAATTACTTACACATCAATAATTACTATTCATTTATAAAATATCACCATTTAATAGTAATAAAGTTTTTTAATTTTAGTTTCGATGAAAAGCTAAGAAGCTGATTTTATTTTATGGTGATGTGTTTTTTTTTGTCTGTCGTCACTTTTTTTCAGCTCTCATCAGACCAATTTCTTTCAATGGTACATCAAAAAATCGTATCTAGTTGAAGACATTACCTTTAAAAATTAAAAAAATTTCCTTTGTTTCCTGTAAATGGAGGATATCCCTCAAAAAATTACGATTATTAAAATCGGTAAATTTCGACATTTTTTTAATGTCTATTTTTTGAAGTCTTGGATAAAAGCAAATAAGTCTATTTTTGGAGATATTATTATAATAGGTTTAATTTTTTTAAATGTTTTAGTTATTTAAATAGTCGTTAGTAGTTAATTAGTAATAAATAAAGTAGTCATTAAACGGACTCACTAAACGAAAAAATTTAAACGGTTAATATAATTTATTTTTAACATATATATTTTTTGAAAGAGTAAACATCATAAAATCAGTATATTATTATCCATTATGTACATTAAGACACTGCATATAGGGCTTACAAGAAATAAAGCATATACAAATTTATTTTTGAAGACTTTTTTTGGTAAAGTCGCTTTTTAAAGTACTAATTACAGTAATAAAAATAATTAAGTAGAATCAGAACCCAATACAGTAAGGACATGTAGATAGAAATCTGTCATTGAATAACATTTTAATCATAAAAAATTTCGATGCAACTATCTTTAAAGAAAGTTCGACTATTCTAACCTTAAAGCTTATAATTTTAGGACGTATCGAAATTGCAATTTAGTAAGACTATAGCGATATTCCATCTAAAGTTAAATATCAGCTGATATATGAGATATGGGTTTTACTGATTTAGTTTTTTTTTATCTGAAATGGATTAAATTTAATTTTGACTAGTCGANTATTCCATCTAAAGTTAAATATCAGCTGATATATGAGATATGGGTTTTACTGATTTAGTTTTTTTTTATCTGAAATGGATTAATTTTAATTTTAACAGTTTTTAACACTATTTTTTGAATTTATATAATTATTAATTATAAGTGAAAGAGGACAGCAACATAGGATTCTGATCTATAAATTATGGTAAAAATAAAGTGCCGCTAAACATTACCCCACTTCTGACCTTTTTTTAAATGTCAATATCACAAAAAATTGTCTCAAATCTAGTTATTGATCAGTGTAAATTTTATTTAGATCATTCTTGTCAATTTAATAGTAAAATATAAAAATTAGCTCCTATTTAATATTTAAAAGCTATCTTTAATATCTACCCTTAAAAATAATTTTTTCTTACAATAACTTTAATTTTTACTATAGTTTATACAAATAAACCAAATATTATCGGGCATCAAATCCAAAAATCATACATTTTTCTGTAAAAATAGCCGATTTTGAAATGTTTTACATAGCAACGGAACGTCTAAATCAATTAAAATTAAATCAAATTAAAGGTTTTATTGTGTAATAATCGTATAAAATTGAAAAAAGAAAAACGTTTCGACGACTTATCTTCTATGAGACTTATCGCTCACTTAAGTCCAAAAGTATTTTTTGGTAAATATAATACCTTTTTTTTAAATTTTTTTTGTAATATTTCAAATACGAATCAAAACCTTTTACGAGAATAGTTTTAATCGTTATCGGATATTAATCTATACGAATAGAAGAAAATGTCTCAACTCCACTACGCTGAATCTCGATTATACTTAACTTCTTAAACTTAGATAATTTTGTTTATGCTTGTATTGATGCAATGTTAATATTATCTTTTAGTATTTTTATAAAAGTACACCGCTTACTTGTAGGAACTTCACACGGATTGATAAAATAAAAAAAATTGAAAAATATCCATATCCTTATCTTGTATTATTAGCAATACAATTATTTATGATTAACTGTTTGTTTATAAATATCATGGATACAATATTCCACTTTTTGTAGCTTGAATATATATACAAAATTGGTTATTATACGAAGAAAACTACGATTATATTGTTTCTTTTTAACAAGGATGGGCAAATTAATCGAAATAATTAAGTGAAGTATGAAAAGTGTTGATAAATTAATAGTTAAAAGTTACCAAATTATAAATTTAACTAGCTATGTTAATAGACACGTTAAAATTTTTTTTTAAGTTAACTAGTTAAAAAAAAATTTATTTAATTTAAAATTAATTTGTCGTCTAAAATCTCTTAAAATCATTTTTATTGACCGGTGAGACAAGGAAAAGCTATGAAACGATTTTCAACTGAATAGGAAGAAAATATTAATGATAAAAAAATATTTTTTAATTATTTGTACATTTTGGTGTTGATTGCAATGGTTTTATCTTTAAAACCATTTATTAAAAAAAAAAAAATTAGTTAAAAATCACAAACGTTTTTGGAAAAATTCAGAAAATTATATTTATTATTATATAAATATATTATTTAAGATAGGGAAAAATTCCAGTTTTTTTTAATTAAAACAAGTAAGCGGTGTATAAAGACATACATTTTTTATGAAATTTTGAATTTTACTTGACTGTTATTTTAATTAATTAGCAGAAAAAGCTAAGTTATTTCAACGGAAAATTAAATTAGTTAAGTTAAAACATTTATTAGAAAAATAATTAACTAGTTAATTTGAAAAGGTAAAAAAAAATAAACTTTAAAGTTAAACTTAAGACTTTACAGCTTTATATTAATGAAGAATACAATTTAAAAAAAAACTTAAATATATCACATATCGTTATTTGTGATAAAATGATGAATTAGTTATGAAGAATATTTTAATGTATATATAATGTAATTTTATGTATATATATATATTAGGGTGGTCCTTAAAATACAAATTTTCAAAATTCGATTTACGCGCACCAAAAAATTGTTCTAATACATGTAATAATAAACTGTGCAAAATTTGGCCCCGATAGGTTGACGTTAACACGTGCCGCAAGAGGGTTGAAAATTCGATCAAAAGGGAAGTTTTTCAGTTACTGTGCTTTATCTCAAAATATATGATTTTTATGTAAAAGTTTATAAGAAAGAAATTATACATATAATTATTTTACACAAAAAAGATTATTAGCGAAAAACCCATAAGTCAAATATTTACCTCCTAAAAGTCAAAAGTTCCATAAATATTATGTTTACCAGTAAAATTCATATATTTCGGCAATTTAAGTATATACGATGAACCGTTCAAGTTATAAAAAAAATTTTCATGTAAAAGTTATTTGAAATTTAATTTTCTATTAGTTTTGTAGAAAAATAAAATTGTTTTACGTGTTTTCTGGCGAGGTAATAAAGAAAACTTATAAATAACAATTATTTTTCTATCATTAATCATTTTTTGTTTAGATAATGTTGTTGAGTTAAATTTGTTTAGTTCCTCAGAATATGAAACAGAAGATGATTTGTCTGGTTCATCATATTCTTCAAAAACACGAGGATTTATAACTTTTATGAATCCCAAATTACTTTCTGCATTAGATCAATGCAAGATATCTGACCGCGATGCTGTGCATTTAATTATTTCTACTGCTGAAGCATTAGGTAATAACGTATCAAAGTTAATAATCAACCGATTAACTATTCGACGGGGAAGATTATTTTTTAGTGAGAGAAAGGTAAATGATATAAAAAAAAATTAAATTTCTGGATAAAAATAGTCTTGTCTTGCATTGGGATGGAAAACTACTTCCAGGCATTATAAATAGAGCTAAAGTTGATCGATTGCCAATCTTGGTATCATTTGAGGGAGTAAGTCAATTACTTGGGTTCCCAAAAATTGAGAGTGATTCTGGAGAGAATCAGATAAATGCAATTTTTGATTTATTACAAGTTTGGGATGTAAAAAATAAAATACAGGCCTTGTGTTGTGACACAACAGCTTCTAATACAGGTCGCTTAAATGACACTTGTATATTGCTTAAACAACTTTTAGAGCGCAATGTGTTGTATTTACCATGTCGTAGACATATTTTGGAATTAGTACTAAAAAATGTTTTCAAGGTTAAACTTAATTTATGTACAACTGGTCCAGTTGTATCAATTTTTAAAAATTTAAAGAATGTTTGATTAGTCTAGATTTGTTGAATTTTGATATTGGTATCAATGATATAATTATCAAAAATGCAGTTGTACACACTAAAAATAATGTAAAAAAATTTTAATTGGAAACATTAATAATTCAACAATGTAGAAAATACTACAAAGAATTTATGTGTTATTTTTATGGGTGCAACACCCCTTAATGGTATAAAATTTCACTACCCTAGTGTTTTTCATCATGCTAGATGGATGTTTAAAGCAATTTATTCGTTAAAAATATACATGTTTAGAAAATAGCTTAAAATAAGAGAAGAACATGCATTTCATAATATTTGTGTATTTTTGGTAAAAGTTTATGTCAAGGCTTGGTTTAAGGGATCTATTGCCATACAATCAGCATTTAATGATTTATGTTTCTTAAAAGTTTTAATTAATTATCCTGATTCTTTTATATCTAAAGCTGCAACACAGAAATTTACCGGACAGTTTACCGGCAGATATTAAACTAAAAATGGTTTAGGCATCAAGAGAGACATCACAAAAACAAGATAAAAAAAATTACAATAAACCTAAATGATACTAAACTATTTAAAAAAAAAGAACTTGATAGATTTTTTGGAAACTCATCCTCATAGCTAGGTTGAAAATCCTGATTTTCAAAATGGTTTGAAAGTTTTATCTAATCTTCTTGTGAAAAACGATATAGCAGAGAGGTGTAAAACGTATGCAAGAAGACAATGAAATAGTAACTAATGATGATGAACAAAAACAGTTTCTACTACAAGTCGTTAATGATTATAGATCACAATTTGGAGATTGTACTAAAAATTTTTCATTTATTACCTTAAAACATAATGATGAACAAGCAGCATAAAAATAATTTATAGCAAAGTTAAACAATAAAGTAGACTAAAATCTGCTTTTAAAAACTAAATAAAACATAGGGCTTTCCAATGACAATATTTCTTCAAAAATCAAATAAATATTTTGAATTTAGTTATATTTAATATTTGGATACATGTGTAAGGTAAGACGAAACAACTAGCCCTCAACAATTTAGAAAAATCATATTTGTTCATGGGAATGGATTATGAAAGATAGAACCCTTCTATCATAAAAAATAAATAAATGATGAAAATATGTTATAGAGGGGTAGTAAAACTTCTTAAGCATATCCCCATTTAGACAATAATTCGAGAACGCCAACATATGAGTTGTATGTTTACTTTTATTTTTTAAATAGAATAGGATCTAAATCCTCGATGTTTTAATTTGAATTTTTTTAATAATCTTTTTCTTTTTTGCTCACCAAAAAAAAATTCTTTATATCACTAATAACCAAAATAATGATGGACAAAAAAAATATTATCAAAAAAAATTTAAACATCGTTGTTTAAAAATATAATGTCGCCTGTGTCTATCACTTCTTTAAGCCCTCCTTAAATACATCTCTGATATAAATATATTAAATGTACATTTTATAAATGTACTAAGATCACAGTAAAAATAACTAATTCAGCAAATAGACATTTAATCATATGGTAAACATAATTTCGTATTGTTTTACAGTTATTCATGATGCAATAATATAATAAATTATACGCAGTAATATTAAATTGTTTACATTATTTTTACGATGGTAAGAAATTATGTGTCCGTGTTACACTGGCGCTACAACACCGGCGTAATTGGCAGCCCTGTCCGCTTAACACAGTCGCCGCAAAGACCTAAAGTGAGACATCTGACGTGCGATCATATTTTATTTTACAGCTGCTGTGCCAGCCCGTTTCTCTATAATAATTGCAAACTTTATACTTAATTATATCTTTAGACATTTCTACTACCGGGTTGCTACGTAGTATCCGTACGCCCGTCAATCTCAATTTACTTGGTTGATTACTTTTTCCATTTTCAATCGCTTTGAAAATTGGTTTAAATATTCGCATGTGCGATCATAATATTCCGATGAGTGAATCTGAAATTTAATACTAAATTTTCCATAACGATTTTTCTTTAAAATATTCATTATGGCATACTGTAGAACATTTCAAAGCCAGGTATATTTTCATATTTTTTTCTTCTATAAAATAATATTTAAATAGAAATTATACCTATTATAATATTACAAGAATCATTTGCCTATTTAGAAACAATCATTAAATTTTTTGTTTGTTTAAATATTAAACCTTTAGGTGCAGTGGACGAAACTATTGTCAGGAGAAATCCAGCAAAGATGTTTCCACTCATCTCCTGCTGTTTTCAGTGCATGCAAAGTCGCAATGAGCAAATTAGATGTTAAACCATTACCGTATGAAACCTTAGAAAAACGCATCAAAATTGTTTCAGATAGGTATGACACATAGTATTAATTTTTTAAATAACTAGTTAAAAATTTTTCTAACTTGAGCTTAAAATTTATATTAAGTTAAATGAGTTGTTAAAAATAAATGGCAAATAGTCAAGTATTTTATTAGATTACAGTAATCTTGCTGTTAGTCACATGATAGCAAAGTACAGTTTAATACGATTATAAACTATGTTCTTGTATTCTGTTATTTATTCATTGTATGAGTAATTTAATTATCTCTAGATAACATTAATTGTTCTTATGAATGACTAACTAGGTTAAAATGTATGTAGTAATAAGTACTTCTTAAAAATGGTTTATAAACAAATAATATTAATAATTGTATATTTATTATTATTTAACATATCTTTTATGAAATCGTACATAATTAAATATTGTACTCAGATAATAATTTAATCCATTTTAGTAAATAGTAGTTAATTTAAACATAGAATATGTTACAGTAATACCTAAACATATCATCAGTTTTATAATGCTATTTTTACAAAAAAAAATTGGATGAATGCCAAAATAACATTTTCATTAAAATGACCTATCTAAATTGTAGGTCATGGTTATCAATATTCAAAAAATAATATATACCATTACACAAAACTTACCTGTATGTTCAACATATTAATTATTTTAATAGAATTAAGTTATGACTACAGATAATATCTATAAATTTAAAAATTTAAAAGACAATTTTAAATTTTTTTTGAGAATTTATTGAAGTTAAAAATGTTTCATTAATGTTCTAAAAATTGTACATAGCATTTAACAACAAACCAACATTATTTTCAATGATTTTAATTCAAATAGAACGAGACGACACATTGTATTTGGAACAAAAACATTTTGAGGCAATAAATAGCTTGCACATTGATTTAGCCAAATGGTAAGGGCCTGGTTTTTGAAAATTAATGCCATTAAGTAGTATTCAACCTAAAAATACAATTATCAAATCCAAAAACTCTCTGTAGTCATCTCTTGGTAGATTTTCGTTGAAAGTTTTGCCATTAATAGTAATTTAAGTCAAATAACCAAAATATTATTTCAAAATTGAAAAAGCAGAAATAGTTCAATAGGAATTGCTTGATTGAATTAATAGGATAATAGATTTTAACATTGAAACAATCATATTTTTATCAATTTTTACACTGACATTGTAGCACTACCAAAAATTACATTATTACCTTTTTTTTTATGCATAAGCTTTTAAAAATATTTTCTTTGGTACAATATTTATAGAGATAAACGTTAAAGACCAAAAAATTCTATGTTTTCACAAAAAATAAAATTAAACGGTTTTATTAGTTAGACGTTGAACAATCAATGTTACAAAAAATTTGTAAAGACCTTTTTACTTTACATTATTGTTTATTGCATTATTAATTCTGCGGAATTTTTTCTATTTATATAAATTAAAAAGATATATACAAAAAACTAAATTTCTACATTTTTTTATCAATTTTCAACCCCTTTTAAGCACGTGAAGACGTTAACTTAGGATGCTCAAAATTCACCAATATATTCTGTATGCTGTATAGAACAAAATTCTGATCACTTGGCATCAAATTTGTTAAAAAAAAAAAATCATTAAGTATAAATAAGGACCACACTAGTTTATATGTACTCATTGTGTAGTATGCATTATAATTATACATCCGAACGAGCTGTACCCACCCATATTACATTCTTACTCTATGTATTAAAATGCTTCTAACTCAATAAGTACTTATCCTAAAACTGTTATTGATTTTTTTTTTTAATAAAAAGGCTACAAAATGAATGTTTTGAAATTCTAAAAAAAAAAAATTTATTGCAAAAAAATAATAATAACTAAGTTTTTAACATCGTCAAAACTGTAAACATTTCTTGAAAAATAAAGGAACACATAATATTTGCAGATATTGCTACTAAAGATTCCAGAATATGGTGGTTTATTTTGTATATAGTGAATCCACTTCTATTTTTAATTTTTTTACTTTTCTATTGTTAGTTATTAAAATTTACTATTTTATGAATAAAGCAAAATTATAATGTTTTAGATTGAGAAAGCCATTATCTTTAGCTGAAAAAGTTCTTTATTCTCATTTGGATGATCCTGTTAATCAAGAAATTGAACGTGGTGTTACATACTTAAAATTAAGACCAGACCGTGTAGCTATGCAAGATGCTACAGCTCAAATGGCTATGTTACAATTTATATCTTCTGGATTACCAAAAGTAGCAGTACCTTCCACTATTCATTGTGATCACTTGATTGAAGCCCAAGTAACTTAAAAATTTTATTGATTTAAAATTATTTTTAAATGATTATGTTTTTAAGGTGGGTGGTGTTGAAGATTTAAAACGTGCTAAAGAATTAAATGAAGAAGTATATAATTTTTTGAAAACTGCTGGTGCTAAGTATGGTGTGGGATTTTGGCATCCCGGTTCTGGTATTATTCATCAGGTATTCATATTATTTTACTCATCAGTTTTGTAGACAAAATTTTAATTTATAAATGATTAAAATTTATATTGATGATTTCTAATTATTGTCATATTTGGAATATATGAATAGTGTCAACCATTCATAGGATGAAGGAAATCCATATCTATTTTCAAAGAAATTATTTTTTTTTTTAGATTATTCTTGAGAATTATGCTTTCCCAGGGTTACTGATGATTGGTACAGATTCCCATACACCAAATGGTGGTGGTTTGGGTGGCTTGTGCATTGGTGTTGGTGGTGCAGATGCTGTTGATGTTATGGCTGACATTCCATGGGAACTTAAATGTCCAAAAGTAATATTATTTTTAGTTAATTTGATGTAAAGCTAGTAGAATAGTGAAATTTTTGCCAATTTATTTTTATAGTGTAAAGGGTAGTGAGTTCAAATAAAAAGTGTTAAAAATATATTAGAGCCATAAGCCTATGCTGTAATAATCAAGAAAAGGCTATTTTTTTGACACAACCCAATATTGACTAGCCATATTTTTATTTTCGTTCTAGACAGCAGACTCGGTCAGGGAGTTTCTTATTAACTTTCAACTGACTTTATATTATTGTTGAATTTCCTCAATATTATTTGAGTTTTAGTATTTGTTGTACCATCTATACTATCTTGTAAAGTATTGTATTAATAAGAGGTTGCATATTTTTTAACATCTAACCATACAGTTTACAAATTGCAACAAATGTTATATTTTTCGAAAAATATGTATTAAAAATGTCTATTAAGATAGAACATTATAGTTAGTAGATGTGGTATTGAAACTTTAATGGAATATTATCAAATGAGTTATCAGTTTTTTTTCTATTGGGTAGAACTAATAATTTTTAGTCCAAATGTACAATTCAAATTTATAAAAATGACACTTATACCTCTTTTATTCTTAATGCTTCAATTATAATTGGTTATTTAATATGTTAAGTTATTAATATATGGTCTTATTAATACTAATTATTATTAAATATAGGTTATAGGTGTTCATCTATCTGGTAAAATGACTGGGTGGACAACACCTAAAGATGTCATTTTAAAAGTAGCTGATATATTAACTGTCAAAGGGGGTACGGGTGCAATTATAGAATACCATGGTCCTGGTGTAGATAACATTTCATGCACAGGTAAGGGTTTTACAATATTTCCTTTTTTATAAAAATTTTATATTCATTGCAATTTTTTAGGTATGGGAACTATTTGTAATATGGGAGCTGAAATTGGAGCTACTACTTCAATTTTCCCATTTAATCACCGTATGGCTGATTATTTAAAAGCTACTTCTCGTGGAGATATTGCTAAAGAGGCTGCTAAATACAGTAAATCATTGTTAACACCTGATCAAGGAAGCCATTATGATGAAGTAAAGTTATAAATTTATGCTAATAAAAATATATATTCTCTAATAATATTTAGTAATTGGTTTTTGTTTATATAGATAATTGAAATTGATTTATCAACATTAGAACCTCATGTAAATGGACCATTCACACCTGATCTCGCTCATCCTATTACAAAGCTTGGCAAAAATGCTAAAGAAAAAGATTGGCCTTTAGATATAAAAGTTGGTCAGTATTAATTTATAAAAAATATATGATAAATGTTGTAAACAAATTTAATTACTACTTTTGTATTTGTAATTATAGGGTTAATTGGAAGTTGTACTAATTCAAGTTATGAAGATATGTCTAGATGTGCTAGTATTGCTAAAGAAGCATTAGCACATGGCCGTAAATCAAAAATTCCTTTTAATGTTACGCCTGGATCTGAACAAATCAGAGCCACAATTGAAAGAGATGGAATTGTATGTATAAAATTTAAATAAAAAAAAAATGTAATTATTAATTCTATATTATAATTAGGCTCAAATATTGAGAGATTTTGGTGGTACAGTATTGGCTAATGCATGTGGCCCATGTATTGGACAATGGGACCGTAAAGATATTAAAAAAGGTGATAAAAATACTATTGTAAGTTCATATAATCGAAACTTTACTGGACGAAACGATGCCAATGCAGCTACTCATGCATTTGTGACTTCACCTGAACTAGTTACTGCTCTAGCTATTGAAGCTCGTTTGGACTTTGATCCTACCAATCAAACTATCAAAGGAGCTGATGGTGCGTGTATAATTTTATATTTAATAAATATTTATGTTTGTTTCACAAACAATATATTTTTAAATATATTGTATTTTGTGCAATATTTTATTTTGATGTTGAAAAAATAAAATTGATATTGTAGTATTGAGTACGTCTACATAAGATTTTACTAGTAAATAGGAATTCTGCTCTATTTGCATCTAATATTTTGATTATTAGATATTAAATATTATTTTAATACTTAACGGTCAGTCATGATAACTGTACCAGAAATCATATGAAAAATGAGGCAAGGTACAGGATTATAACCTACAACCAGAAAGGGGCCGTAGAGACAAACCTTGCCACTGTGCACTCATGATTTAGATCCCAATACATTTTCATTAGGATGATAATGTGACGTGTGGCTAATGTGATGATGGGAAACATACAGTACTGTCATGTTTGTAAACATTAATCAAAGTGATTAAAAAATTTTATATTCGATGTCATTGAAATTAGTCAAAAAAAGTTCATAGTTTTACTACTATATCTTTTGAAAACTTTATAAAGAACTTTATCATGTTCTTTTTTCCATAGGCAAAGAATTTAAATTGAGTAATCCATTTGGAGCTGAATTACCAGCTAGAGGTTTTGATCCTGGTCAAGATACTTATCAAGCACCACCAAGTGATGGTAGTTCAATTAATGTTGATGTTGATCCAAAATCACAAAGACTTCAACTGTTAGAGCCATTTAAGGTTTGGGATGGTAAGGACTTGGAAGGACTCACTATTCTGATCAAAGTATATATCAAAATTAAAAAAATTATGTAGAATTTATATACTTAAGTATTTTAAAATTAAAATAATAATATTAATTATTTTGTTTAGGTTACAGGAAAATGTACTACTGATCACATTTCTGCAGCAGGACCATGGTTGAAGTATCGTGGTCATTTAGATAATATTTCTAACAATATGTTTTTAACGTATGTATAATAAATATTACCTATAAAAAGGTTTAATTTCATAGGTGGTACGACATCTCCCAAAAAATAATTAAAGTTATTAAATATATAGTATTTTAAAATAAACAGAAAATGTGCAAATTTTATTGTTTATAAAGACTTTTCTAGAAAAATATTTGTTCAACTAGGCCTAAAAGAAATTTGTTATGATTTATTGATTTTTATTAATATTGTTTCTAAGTATAAAAACTAAAAACCTATAGAACTATCAGATAAAAATATTATTCTAAATTATTGATCAATAATGAAATGTTTTCTAATTAGCAAATTTTTCACAACACATATTATCCACACCCCTTGAAATTATTCCAGAATTACTCTAGTATAATTACAAAGTAAAAAAATAATTATTTTTTCCACAAAATTTTAAATTTTTTACAAATTATAATAATTTTATATAATGTGGTGTCCATTAAATGATTAATAAAATAATTTTATTAATAATTATTATTAGTTAGTAATTTAAATAGCTTTGATGCTCTTGCAGTTATCATTCTGTACTAAAATCTTTTTGACTTGTAAATATTTATACAATTTGTTTTATAATTGTATAACCATGTTTTACTAATATGTTTTTATTATTTTTAGTGCTGTTAATGCTGATAACAATGAGATGAACAAGGTTAAGAATCAAGAAACTGGTGAATGGGGTGGAGTACCTGATACAGCAAGAGCTTATAAAGCTAAAGGTGTACAATGGGTTGTATTTGGTGATGAAAACTATGGTGAAGGCAGTAGTCGAGAACATGCAGCTTTAGAACCACGTCATTTAGGTGGACGAGCTATCATTGTAAAATCATTTGCTCGCATTCATGAAACTAACTTAAAAAAACAAGGTGTATTGGCATTAACATTTGCTGACACTAAGGATTACGAAAAAGTTCAACCAACTGATAAAGTATCAATTATAGGCCTTAATGAATTCACTCCAGGAAAAGTAAGCAATAACACTACAGTATATAATTTAAAAATAATATATCACATACTATGTACTAGGTAAAAATGAGATGCTCCTCTCTTATAAATTTACTCAAATCACCTTTACATTAGTATATATCAACATAAGGCACTTAGTATAACTACTAAAAATCAAGTTACTTATGATTATTTAAATGAAATATTCTAAAATTAGTTTGTAACATATTATTTCTTAAATAGTTATACTAAATAAGGAAATGTCAACAATACAATATTTTATGTTATTAGTTTTTGTATGATAATTTATTGATTTATTAATAATAATATTTAAATTAAAATTTAATTTGTTTAGCCATTGAAGTGCATTTTGTCACACACTAATGGTAGCAAAGATGAAATATGGTTGAACCACACATTCAATGAACAACAAATTGAATGGTTTAAAGCTGGAAGTGCATTAAATCGTATGAAGCAAATTGCTGCATCTAAATAAATTATAAAACTGTAAAATAGCAATGTTTTTATTAAATCTATTCACTATTATTTATTATTTTATTTCAATAAAAACTTTTATGTATAAAAAACTATTTTAGTAAAATTACTTAGATTTGTAATTTAATATTATTGAATGTAGGTACTATTAAGTATCATATTATGAATGATTGTATTGTAACAGATGTTAGTCGATTAATAATTATAGTTAAAATTCTTGTATATTTATTATTTACACCCGAGTTTCTTTTATTAAATTCTTTATGTTATGTTTCTTAAATAATTATGAAGTATTTTAGTCATCAATAATCAAGCCATATTTAAGTTACTTATAAAACTAACTCGTTATAAAAGAAATTGTCCATAATAATAGGTAAACAATAGGTATTCTTATATAATTTCTTATTGATAATGCTCATAAAACATCAATATTTAAATTTATATCTACTCCTTATATGAAAATATACATGTTTTAAGCTAATATTTTTATTTATACTTAATTATATGTATTTAAGTTTTTCAAAAATTTCCTACTTATCTTATAAATAAGGATGCACCTAATGTTCACAAAATATTTAGTATTTGATCAATATTCCTAGAATAATTTTTACTCAAATTCACTTACAGCTATTTGGTTTAGTATAAAATTATAATATATAGTCAAATTAAATTATTCCATCAAATTCAAATTTGATGATTGCATATTGTAAGCTACAACTAATCCCGGATTTAAAGATGAGGCAGAACTATAATTATAATATATAATTGTATGATAAAAATCCAATACTTGATATATAATATAATTATCAAGTGCTTTCTAATTAAAATGAAAGATTTAGTTTTAATATAAAATTTTTGGAAGTACATCTTTTATAGTCTTCCTTTTCAAATAGGATTTACTTAATTAAAATTTAATAATAATTGAAATATAATATATAAAATTGATTGAATTAGTTATTAGCCTAATTTAAAGGGAGGCTTAATCTCACAGAAACATTTGTAACCCCTACAAATCAAATTTTTGAAAAGAGAAAGATAGAAGATAAAGCAATATGACTTTAATTTATATAATAATGGTTTGGTAACAATTGATTACTCAAAAATACACTAATAATTTTAAGTCAAGGTTAGTTATTTTTAAATAATTTAATGTAGACTCTATTAACATTAATTCTCTGTTTAAAATTCATTCAATTGTATTTAATAGATGAACATTTGGTAATTTCTATAAAAGTACCTTCTTAGATCAATTAATAAAATACTTTTAAAATTAAAATAATAAAATATTTTTTAAACAAAAAATAAAAAATAAATTTAACTTTTATGGTGATATCATTAAAAAGTGAAATATTTAAAATCAAATTTCTATTACTCTAGTGTTATAAATAATTACTAAAAAAACTAGATATTTTATTAATAAATTTTATTCTATAAGATTACATAAGTAAATATATATATATTATATTAAGGTTGTAGTTTGTACATTCTTTGCAACAGATGGTACGACTATATGAAGTTAATGTATAAGTTCAACATTTTTGAATTCCCTAGTAAATTTTATAGCAACTATGAAAAAAGCAACACTTTTCACAGTATTCCTAAAATATAACAAATAATGAATATATAGTAAAAATAGGTGAAACCAACTATTCACACCTTTATAAAGATTACAAAAATATTATTTTACTATCAACTACTTGATTCAAACATTTTGTCATGAGTTTTTTTATTTTACCAATACATTTATTGAATAAACTTAATAATTTTGAAATTTGAGAAATGAAAATTGTAACTACAAAACGTGTGAACAGTATTAGAGCTGCCGCCTCAGTTAAATAAATAATTATATTTTACCATATATCTGGATCTTGGTAAATTAGTTTTAAAGTTTCTAGTTTAGTTCGAGGTTTTGGTTTGACTGCTGGTCCAGGTCTTGCAAACATATTTTATTAACAGATTTTTAGACTCGCAAAATATAAAATTTCTAATAAATTATTCTAGTACAATTGAAGTAATAATAAAAAATATGTAAAAATATACCTCATGCTAATATTTTCATGACGCCTACAGATATTTTATCACGGATATCACTTCAAAGTTGAAGAAGTTTGTTCACGGTCACACTGTATTTTTTATTTTTACTATTATCCTTAGTTATTTACTTAATAAAAATTGTTGATTACTGATTAGATAACTCCTTGGTTTGGCGGCCTTTATTTTGCACTTTTAGATTAATGAATATTATAGTTTTCTTTTTATTGTTTTACTCTCTTTAATTGAATGGTAGTCATTTTTTAAGTATATATCAGACTACTATGGCTAAAAGTGAGATGGATAACGAAGTATTAAAAGAATTACGCGCACTTCGTACTCAACTCAATGTTTTAAACGAGATGGTCCGAAAAAATTCAAATTCCGTAAATGTTGTAGTAAGATTTTTAGCAGTAAGTTTTCATTATTATTTAATGTGGTCAAATCATTCAACTTATTGGTTGTAAATTTAACGAGTGATTGTTTCAGGGTTTTTTAGATATATCCAGATCAAAATTAGTTGACATACTCACAGAAGCTCAAGCCAACATTACAACAGTTCAACCTAATGATAACATAAATATGAGCCAACCTTTAATTATTGAAAATGGCTATCCAAGTACTCAAATTAAACTGATGATGGAATTGCTTAAAATGTGTAGTTCATACAATCCTAGGGAAACTTCTATTTGTCCTATCGATCCTTTAAATATTCCATTAACTTCTTTGCAAACCCAAGCTTCTCATATCTCACCAATTCCTGTAACTCAGCATAAAATTGATTTAGAACAACATTCAACTGTTCCTAATCAGACTATGTTTAAAGACAGTGCTAGTAGTGTTAATGATAATAGGTCTGAAGAAAAACCAAAATCAATTCATAATGTAAGTGTTAATAATAGACGTAAAGAAGAAGAAGAGCTCAGACGAAAATATCGAAATAAATATAGGTATATGAATATAGGAGACTTAAGTGAACGTAAACGTAAAGCTCAAGAACAAACTCACATTCATTGCAAGAATCCTATTACTGATCTAAATAATATAAATATTCTTAATAATTATCAATCTGACATAAATAAAGATGAAAAAGAATCATTAGAATTTGACGAACCTTTTATAAAAATTGATAGGTATGATTGTACTACCAGCCCTGCAACATCTAAAGCAAAGTAAATATTTTTTTTATTTTAATTTTACATTTCTAGATTTTGATCAATAGGAGTCAAGTCAACTTTCCCAGCTTAACAATACAATAGACTCCAATATATATTATATGTATTACAATATATAATAGTAAAAAAATATAATAATGACTGAATATCTTTTGATCAAAAATACATTAAATTTTATAGGGACATATAATAATATTATTAACATTAAATATTAATAATCTCCAATTAAAAAATTAAAAAATGTTCAAAATTTTACTACAAAAGCATGCAATTTTAATTAAATAATACATTTTCATAAGTTAATTTAATATTTTGTTTTTATACTTTTTCAGAATTAATTTTACTTCAGCAAAAAGGAAATCAATCAATGTATCTAAAGTTAATAAATTAAAAGATAAAAATTTAAATCTACAGCGAAGTAAAAAGTAATATTAATTTATTACTCTATGATATTGCTCGGTCTAGATTTTTTTAGTTATTTATTCTGTTTTAATAAAGCTGGTTTCACTATATATTAAAGAAAAATTTTTGAATAATTTATGAATAATATAATTTTATAAATGTTAATAATCGGATTATTTCTAAGTTTTTAAATCATGTATTATATCGGTTCTATAAAATTTTTATATTATATTTATATATATATATATATATATATATATATAAATCATGGTTGAATTTTTATTCTATGAATAAATTAATTTTAAATTAAAAAATTAGTAATAAAAGTTATGATGAAAGTATAATTATTTTTTTAATATTATTATAGAATTTTAAAAATAATTTTGCACATTTGTTATATTTTTTGATTAATTGTACTTATTTTAGTTAGCTTGATTATTTTACTATAAAAGTTGTATATACTTTTTACATTTGTTTAATAAAAATAATACCCATATAAAATGTTAGGAAATGTTTTCAAAATTAAATTTTTTCATGAAATTTTATTCTTAAATTTCTTATATGCATTTGCTTTGCGATTTCTCCATAAATAATTTTGTTTAATAATAACATATAACTTATATTATTTTGCAGATATATACACTTTTTTTAATAATCGTTATTTGAAAAATATAAATGTTTTTTTTAATTAGTTCTTGTGGTCTCTAACTATATCTACACAATTATTGTGTATAGATATATTTTTTCAATGTCATTTTATTGTAATTACATTTTTTTAAAATTTATACATTAATTTTGGTTTTATTTAGATATATTTACTATTATTTATGAAAATATTTCTATATTTTTGTTAATAATTTATTTAATGGGGCATGTATTATATTATGAATTTTTTGGTATTAATAGTAATCATTTTAATACCCTATTTGGTTGAAATTAAATATTAAAGGGAATCCAAAAATCTATGACCTCAGAACATCAACATATTTATTAAAAATTAATTTGTATGATCAAAATTTTATCTAATAAATTTTTTATTCGAGTATTTATGTTTTTTATAGTTTATATGAAAAACACGATTATCATTATTATTGAATAATTTCGTATTTATATAATTTATTATTATTATTATTTTAATTTGTAAATAATAAAATTAATTGTACAGTAACAGATTATACATATATTTTTTTTATAGCTCATTATGATCTTTTTTGTAGCATCATAAAAATGTTTAATATAGAGTGTATTAAATAAATAATTGTAGATACCTGTCAGCCTTTTTTTTTCGCTTGAATTGTAGCCTCTACCGAAGATGAGGTTTCTTTATCATGGATACTGGTGGGTTAACCGTCATTAGAGGGAGGGATGGCGATTTCAATTACTAAACTGATCTCTTACTCTACAAACAGACCGGCCGGGACTGTGCGCATCAGGTATTACACAAACGGCTTGTAAAACTTATCATGATTTTAGTAATTTTGAAATTCAATTAATTGAAGGAGTCATTTTAATAACGTGATAGTTCCATATTTATACAATAAACTCAATAAAATTTCATTTAACAGTCTCAAATCTTATTTCTTTTTGTGGAAAGATTATCAATTGCCTAAATAAGGGAATGCGGTTGCACTAAGGACCCTTCAATCTTAGTAGGCGGGGCGGACTGAACAAGGAGGCAATTGTTTTCTGGACCACTATGATTAGCGCAATTCGGTTTGTAAAGTTTGTTTTATAATCTTTTTTGCGCATCATTTCATGTTATGAAGCGATATAAATATATTTTAAAGATGGCTGAATTGCCACAGTTATTTTGCACCCTAGGCTGTTGACTTTTCAATCGAGCTCTGTTAAAAAGTTGTTTTTAATTTCCAGGGTACTATTTTTATTTTTAATTTAAATCTAATTAAAAAGGGGTCTTAATGTTTTAACTTGTATACGTACGCCTCTGAAGAATTTTAGACTGTTCTGTATTTAATTTTTTATTGATAGAAATAATTTCATTTTAATGATAAAATAATAATAAATCAGGCTTTCTTCATTTTATACAAGATATATTTGAAGTTCTTACTTACATATAGGTAAGTCAATGGTATAACATTATTTCACTGCGACAGTGGTGTACCACTGTTTGACTAATAAAACGAAAATAAATTTACTTAATTTGATAAGGTACTCCACATAGCGGTGTTATAGTTAGGGTTTTGTTTTTTTGGGGGGGGGGCGGTAGAATATTAACAAAAATTGTATCTGAACCTTTTTATCTGTAAAAGCTATAGTTCCCAGGGCGTCAGTTTTGGACCCTACATTATTTAACCTATATTGCCTGACATCCCAATACCAACAAATTCTTAACTAGCTATGTTTGTTGACGACACTACACTCATCACCCAAGACAAATCTCTCGACTCAGCTATTAACAAACTCCAAATCTCACTAAACGAAATCAAAACCGAAGCCAAAATATTTACTTTAAAAAGATATAGTAATTCTAACTGTAATTATATAGACAACGAAACAATAAAATGGAACAAGAAGGATGACACCGTCAAACACCTATGGGTTTTCTTAGATGAAAAACTTACCTGTAAAGCTTATATAAATAAAAAATTAACTCAAGGCTAAGTCAGAATAAAAGTAATTTACCCATTATTACACTACAAGTCCACTCTTCAAATTAAGTCTTCTCTATTACTCTATAAGTTGATTATTCGGCTGCTAATCACATACGCATGCCCAGTATGGACATCTGCTCCTTTTACCAAAATACAAAAATTACAAACACTACAAAAAAACTTTCTTAGAATTTGTCTAAATGCGCCATGGTTCATGCGCAATCGTCAAATCTAAAACGACACAGGCATCCAGTATATTTCATATTGGATCAAACAAAACTTTAAAAACTTCCACAACAAACTTCAAAATTCAGAAGGCGCAAAACATTTTTAACTTAGTAAAAAACTATTAACAGGTTAATTAAATTAAACTATTATAAAGGTGTTGTTTAAATACAACACACATTATTCAAATTAGTTTCAGATGCATATTTGTAAAAACATTAACTTGTTGAAACATTTTAATTTAACTAGATGAAAAAAAAACCTTTTTATCAATTTTAATAAGGGAAATATACCTTCTCCTCAATCTCCTCCGTCCTAGCACAGGAGCATCACAAATATGATTTGCCCGATATGGTCAGCAAAACCTTACGCAGACAATGGTTTGGTGATGTTGCATATAATGTATAGAACTATATAATGCATCTAAAGAATTGTGTTCCAAATTTTGGAATCCTAAGAGACTAGTATATTTTTATCATTTAATCTAGGCATTCAAATTTTCAATGTATACCTGCATATATATTAAATTTAATAATTTTAAATGTTTTACTATTAATCAGAATTAAAAACATAAATATTATTTATCAGATACTTCATTGCGTCACATATATTTTTTCCTATTAAATTTCATGATAAAATATAATTGACATTGAAGTATGAATAACTTTTACAATATCTACATTTTTTCAGGCTTTCAAAACGCATAATTGTTACATAATAGTTTTGTCATTCGGTTTAATACTTACGATACTTATGTTGATACTATTATAATCATTTGAAACTTATAGATTGAGTATAATATTTAAATTTTTACGAAATTTAACAATTTTTAAAGGAATATGCTTTATTTTACTTAAAATCAGAGTGTAAAATAATCAAGATAATTTTATTTAAAAGTTTATATTTATTTCAAAATAATATTTTGAATTAGTTAGTAACCTAGTGTGCCACAAATTTAGAACTAAAATAAAATAATTATTATTACATTTAACTTTTTTTGACTTAACGCCGTTATTTGACAGAGGATTAGTAAATTTAGAAATAAGCTCTCTAGTTGCAAAAGGACTAGTACGTAGACTGATTTTTTTCTTTGATTGATAAGTAATCATCATATAAAGTCAATAAAAATAAAAGAATATTTTGAAAATATTCATGCAATCGTTCTTTGTTATCTGTTTCAAAGTTCACAATTATTTTATACAAAGATTTAGTTTTAATAAGATTTTTTTTCACTTTTGCATTTTAAATGTTTTCGGAATATCATGGCTCTTTTATTAGCGTTTATATTTTTTAGGTCAAGATCTTCATACTTATGGTCCGGAAATTTATCTCAGAATCACATAAATACTAACCTGCAATTATTAAAAGTGGGTTTTTAAGTCTAGACCCATAAATATATTTGTATACAATTGTGATAATTAAAGTGAATTATGTTTCTGAATTTTGTAAAATAGAAATCTGTTAAACTTATTACCCAAAATAAAACAGTTTTTCTAATTTTAAAGTTTAACATTAACCCCTGTTAAAGTCATATTTACTGTATTTGTAAATTTGAAGGGATGATTAAACTTAGGGCAGTTAAATGTCTACTATCGATTATACCAGTCTATAGAAATCTGTAAGACATTCAACGCCCCATTAAGTTTGACCACTGCTCTAAGTTGATTCATTTGATGGTACATATTATTAGTTATCAAAAATGTCCGTTATAACTGTAGATCATGATGTAAACAAGATACCTTCTCTATATAGTGTTGTAAATAATACGCAATCGTATAAGAAAAAATAGGAGGGTTTAAGGGTACTAAACCTTTCCAAATTCTGTCTCAGTCCCCTAAAATGATGAAAATTACATCTAAATTTATAAAAAAAAATTAAGGAAGGGAACATTAGATACAAAAATTTTTTTTTTAATTTCAACTTTGCTTTATCAGTAAACAATTTTTTTACATTAATTTTAAGTTTATGCTTAAATTAAACTTGTATAAATTTGACTTACCCTCCTACATTTTTTCTTTAAAAAATGAGTTAATTACACACCAGTAATGAATGATAAGCGCTTCTGATAACAACAATAAAAGTGATGCTGTAATTACAATAAAAAGAATTTAATAAACTGTAATTTAAATTTACAGTACACTTAATTTTTGTAGTAAAGCGCGGAATAATTACTTATACCTAAGTTACAGAAAAATATCACATTCAATATGATTAAGATTGTGTGCACACATCAACAAAAACATCGTCATTTAAATTAATTATTTCTGTAAACAAATTGCGAATATCTTAACCACAATCTATTTTGCGTCTGTTTTCTGCTATAATGACAATAATTTAAATAAAATTAAAATACACAATTTTTTTGGGCAGAAATTCAATGCCATACCGATTAATGAAATTGTACGTTGTACACGTAATATCTGTGTCATTGTAGAAATGTAACAAATTCACACATATATGTATAGAATTAAAATATTAATATTTTGACTAACGTGTATCATTTTTGTCTAAATTGATTGAAAAAAACCCACGACAGAGGGGTCGCGGTACAGTGGTGACGTAGCATAGTTGAATCAAGTATAATGATATCTGACAGTGATTAAAATCACTATCATAAAAAACGCTTCGATGCAAATCTTTAGATAGTATTTAATTTTAAAAAATTGGTGGGTTATTCCAAAAGCTACATGATCTGCTATTTCCTTATTTATATCCTGATTAAGATAAAGTATGTCGAATGAAAAAGGGTTTATTAATAAATATTATTTCTCATAAAAAAATTGTGTTGATCCATACACTTTTCAATAAGTTATAGCATTATAAAATTAAAAATATGAAAAATAAAATCGAGAATTTTCACACGAAAATAGCATTCGGTAGCCATTTTCATCGTGAAGACAAGTCCAGAGGTCAAATTTTTTTTTTTTTGAATTAATGTACATTATATTAGCTTTAATTTACGATATATATATATATAAAAGTGTCAGACTTTCCGGAACATTTTCAAAAGTTAAATTGAAAAAGTTATTTTTTTGTAAAAAAGTTGTCATTTTAAATCCTCCCCTGTGGGCAGATAAAGGGTCAGATTTACAAAAAAAATATACAAAATGATAGGTAAAGACATCATGCATTTACAAAAAAAAATTATATTGATTTGACCATTTTTAAAAAAGCTATGGCAGTTTTAAATAAAAAAAGTTAAAAAAATTTCGAAAATTTGTAATTTTTTTGGAGGTTTCCCCCATTTACGGGGAACGAGGAAAAATTTTTCAATTTTTAGGGTAATGTCTTCGATTAGATACGATTTGTGATCTTTTGACATATTGTTCATTAAAATCAGCCCATTGAGAGCTGAGAAAAAGTGGCAACAGACAAAAAAAAAAAAAAAACACATGGTAAAATTAATACTTTCTCAGCTTCGCATCAAAGCTAAAATAAAACCATATTAATATAATACAATATAATAAACCATACACAATATTTTAAGTGTTGACCTATACATGATTTTATTGCCTTGACGGAAGTATTAATTTTCACACTAATGTGCTTTTTTCGATGAGTTCTGACATATTTGCCCTAATTTGTAGTGGACAAAAACCTGTGCTTATTTACAATGCAATCAAAATCTTGTTTTAAGATTTGGTAAATTTATTTAAAAATTTTTTATAAATCTTATAATACACCATTAATTTTATAAAATTCATCTCCAATAAAATTCCTAAAAGTAGATTAAAATTTATTATACTGTAAATCAATTTAATAGATTAAGATTTAATTGAAAAACACTCAGTACTATAGACATGTCTATAAGTAGCGCCTGCAATGTACGAGCACTACCCGCGAAATATTCAAAATTTATTTTAAATATTTAAAGATATTTTCATATTACATTTAGTATTTCAGAAGTCATTAACATTTTTTTGCCTAGACGAGGAGAATTACAAGGGCGTGAAATATATAGCTATAAAAATAGCATCATTCACAATTCATTCCCAACCATTACCTTAAATTGTTAATAACTTTTGAAATAGTGGTCCAAAAGTTATTATTGACCATTTATTTTATAAATTAGTTTATTATTATTATTATTAAGCTAGTTAATTATGTGTGTTGATATTTGAATAATCAAAGTTGACACCCTTATAAAGTATAAGAGACATAAAAAATACTTTATGATTGATAAATTCAAAGAAACATTAAACTAAATGAAACCAATAAAAAAATTATCAATATTATTTTTATTTTCCATTAATAAGTGGTTAAGTGTGAAAGAGGGATGAAAAGGAATATGATCTTAAGCACCTTTTTTACCAATGAGTCCATTGGGTTGTAAAAATGGTCTGGACATGCCTATTATAGTTAATTTAGATTTTAGTTAGATAAATTAAAGATATTTATTTAATAATTGACAATATTTCTGAATATTTTGTTTCTTTATCTAATTTTATTAAATATATATTTATACAATTCAATTTTTAATTCTTAAAAAAAACTTTTTGAGATGGTTCTACGTTTTTAATATTGCGGTATTGAAAAATAAAATCAATTATGAAAATCATAAAAAATAAGTAAATAATCTTACCTTATACTATTTTAATATATATTTTATAAATAAAATAAAATAAATTGTATTATAAAGTTTAATTTGTTCAAATTTTTCTTATTTAGTATAAATTTAACACTTGACCTAATAATCCACTGATATTAAATCGTAAAAAAAATATTATATAAAACTATTTTCTTATATTTGTTCCCTTTATGTAATTTTGGACTTTATTTCAGAGCTTTTTTTTTATTAAATTGATTTTCTCTAAATTTCAATTTTTATTTAAGATATTTAAAATGATCTAAAATTAGAATTGAAATAGTTCGAAAATATAAACTTGATTGACAAAATAAATGATAAGTTGACAATTATGAGCATCTGTAGATATTATTGAAATGAAACATCAACTTTTTAATTAGAAAAATTCTTATAAGAATTTTGTTAGTTTAACATCTTACAAACTAATACCAACTACTCAAGGAAATTTTTAATAAAATATCACGGAAAAGTGTAATTTCTTAATATTTATAAATGCTGTTTACTATTCGATTAAGCAGAGCCTACTTATGTGTGTTTTGTGACATATGGTATGTAAAACGAAATTCCAAAACTGGCAGTAACTAATTAGTGATTATGAACTTAAATATTTTGCTGGGTTTAAAAAAAAAGTTTTTACTACGAATAATGTAACAAAATGATTCTGTAAGAAAGAACTTCTTTTATGCTGTACAATATAATTACAAAATTAAAAACTAAAATGTTATTTACCAAAAATTGAATTGTTATTGTTATGTAGTTCATTTATTATACTTACTTTACTCAATATTAATATAATGACATAATATCATTACAAAACGTTCTAAGTTTATTTAATTGAAAAAAAAACTATAATGGGTAAAGTATCATATATTATGCATTGAAAACTCTCAGGTTGATCATATTAGATTTCGGCGTGGACTTGAACATTTAAAGCTGGAAACGCAGCTGATTAAATGAAAAAGTGTCGTTAAGGTGGGAGGTTCAAAGAGCACAGTTAGCAATAAATTAACGACCTCAAACTGTTTGCGGGTTGGATACAATCATTATTTTTATAGTAGTCACATAACAGTCTTAAAGTCAAGCGTTGATCGACAGCACATTAAATATTGTGTTATCTAATTATATAGAAATACTACATTTTTTTGTTTAAATCAGTTAACTTAAAAAAATATTTTACACAAATAAACACTAAAAGTTTTTATTTTCAAAGTACATTTGCTTAAAAAAATTTTTTTTATTCAATAAAATTTTAATAGGATAATGACTCTCGTACGTTTGATCAAAGTTATATAATAGTTATTTTAATAAGCAAGGTAAGTAAACCTAATATAATTGAAACATATTTTACTACTATATTTGAACTATAATTTTATTGAAACAATCATCATTATAAGTATTTTATAAAAATTTATGACATTTTATCAAGTTGAAAAAATCAATAAATTTTAATAATTATTTTAATAAAATTTGATCTATTTAAACAATTAATATTAAATATTTCTATTTGGTATAACTGTTTGCTTTATATCAAACTAGTTTCTAATTGTTCATAATTTTTTGAAACGTCGTATTGTTTTGATTCTATATAAAAGTATTTATTTACAAATGGGTAACAACCCAAATTAAAAAATTATCACATCAGAAACCACTTATTTGCAATTTCAGAAGAAAAATACATTAATAACATAAAAAAAAAAAACTATATGAGGAATCATCATAGTAAAGGCGTATAAGATTAGTAGAGGGAAAGTTTAGCAAATGTAATAGTGTGGAGAATCAATATTTTCATATTTTAACATCACTACAATTACATTTAAAAGTATATTACTATTTAAACAATTTTTATATTTGTCACTATCATAAAAAACAGATAGTATTGTTTATAAACCGTATATTTCTCATAATAAATAAAATTTTTCAGTATAATCATTTACATTATGAAAAAAATAATAATTAATCAATTCTATTAAACTAATTCGTCTATATAATCATCAGTTAAAATTTTTCTACTTTTAAAGTTTAACTATTGAAAAAATAATATATCTTGACTCGTTAATTTTTTAAATAAATATATTAACATGGAAAATGTATTAAGTTATTGTTCACGGGTAAGAATTGAAACAAACAATAGTTAATATTGAGTTTTATTCTTATTATATTACTTTGAAATGTATCTGTATGCAATTCATTTGCTCAGTCATAATCTTTTTAAAATGTTAAAATAGTTTCACTTGTTCAATGAATTATATAAAGATCATGTTCGTATTAATATCATTGTTATTAAAAATGAAAATTATTATTTTTTATTTTAATTTACTACTTTTAGTTTATATCTCACTTATAATAGTAATTTGACTATTTCAAAAAACCATAGACAACAATTGTATAATTTAAGTGTGTTTTGCAAGCATCTTTTAAGGACATGTATTTATAAAACATTATCCGTAATTTCTCAAATATCAATAATACTTTATATTTTTGTAAAAAATCTTGTAAACAAAAGACACGTGAGATTAGTAATATAATAACAATTTAATAACTTCTATAGTAATTTTCTTTATTATACTATATTATTGAAATCATAATTTTAGTAATAAAAACTTCTATTTTGTTAAACTAAAATGTTATTCTTCAATCAAATAAATGTCCACAAGATTAAATTAATAGTGTTTAATTATTTCAGAAAATAGACGCGATAAAACAAATCTGAAATCAGATTTGGAATCGGCACCAAATGACTTTTAGGACTCGCCTAAGTATTGTAAAGTGCAATTTTTTATTGACCTGTGTAATTATTATTTTTATCACATAATAATGCATCAGAGTTAGGTATATTTCATGCTTATCCATTATTATATAATGATTTTATTATCAAGAAACATAGAATACAGATTTTAGTATTTATATTGGATTTTTTAAATTTAAATCACGTATCATTTTTTTATAAATACAACATGATGAAATTTTGAATTTAGCTCTACTGTTTCCCCTGAAATAACTTCCAACACTATTTATATTACATAAATACAATTTTTTTTTTGATACTGACTATAATCAATGAGTAAATTAATAAGCAAAAATACAAATTGATAAGGACTAAATTTCACCACTATTGTAGTACGAACACTTACCGTATTTATAATGGTTAATTAAATAAAATTCAAAACTATCAAGGTCCTTTAAAACATAATTAATTTCTATAGAATTCTAAAACTTTATGACAAAAAACTTGTGGCAGATTAAATCTTTTGTAAAGTACATTGTTATTAGTGTTAGATATTTTTCAGATTACTAGATGAAATATTTGACTGACGTTTCCATATTATATATAACATTTCTAATTGACTAATTAATAATGTTTTATGCATAATGTATGTATGTTAAATTTTCAAAAAAAAATATTTAGTAATTATTATATATATCAACAATGTTACATAATATCAAATGTTTACAGTCTAATTGACGTAAGTGAAATTTTTATCAACAATTTTTTCTTTGTTAAAAAAATTAATGTAATTTAAGGATATTTCAAACCAAATTTTTTGTTTATAATTTTTCAGTTTAAATGTTCTTATTTGTAATTTTAATAACACCCTGAATTTTTATATTATTTTATAGTTTAAAAACTAAATATGTGTTATCTTGGAGTACATTTAAATATGTGTTGGACAAAATTTAATTATTACTTTAAAATTATGAAATTAATTAAATAATTTTTACCCTCAAATTTCGATTATACTGTATAATAAATTCTTACTCAATAAAAAATTGGTAATCCAAAAAAGTAGCTAAATAACTAATTTTTTTACTTTTTAATAAGTTAACAATTAGTAGTAGCTTATAAAATAATATATATATGAAAAACAATGTAACCGGCTATTGATCTCTTTTCAATGTTATTAGTGGTTACAAATGCCCCCCACATTAAAATCTGTCTCAATCTCTCATGATGATCTCCCTCTCATGTGTAGAATCTATATTTATAAAAAAATAAGTATATTTCTATAAAATATAGCATATATTTCTTAATAATTGTGCAACTTTAATGTTTAAACTTATGTTATAAAAATTATATTCTAATAAAATAAACCATATTAAAACAATAGCTAAATTTATATATAAAGACAATTGTTTAATAATTTTTTCATAGTACATTGATATTCAAATATTTTGAAAATTTTGATTGGATCAATGATCAACATTCTTATGTTTTACACTTGAATTATTAAACGTTTTTAATTTTCAATATAACAATACATTTTCCAAAGTTTTGGATATAAAAATATTCTTTATTTCCTCATTAATACAATGAATTCATACTAGTATAATAAAAATAATATCTTGGACGATATTCGACGAAGAAAAATTTAATAAATTGAAAGGTGTTGTGTTCTGTTATTTTGGTTCAGAAACGTATAATTTTTTAAGTACATTATTTAAAGTAATGAATATTTTGTGACAATTTTCACATATTTCATACGTTTAAATTTTCTGCATAACAGTTGACCTTGTAAAATATAATTGAATAACGTATTGTCAACAGTAACCGACGACTTGCGACCGTAATAAAACGATGTGATACACGCATCGTTCTGCTATATATTCATTGATATCTAAACGAAATCCTTGAAGAGAACTCCTGCTACACTGTGTTTTGATTTGAATGAACTACGTGTGCACGCGTACAGATTTTAAACCGCAACACCTTACTTTCGACAGAGGAAATAAAAATTTGCACAGCTCCTTGAGTAGTAATACCGTTTATTGTATCTAACAAAATGTCACAGTCTAAAGACCAAGTTCTTTTAAGCATAGATAATGACCTAGTAAAATAACATTCGGCGAGTTGGTTTTAAATCTATTTTTGGATCAATAAAAGAATGGTTAATTTAAAACCGAAGGCTTGAAAAGTATGAGTGTTGAATATTAATTAAATATCTTTAAACCTGCAATTATTTTAGTTGTCTATTAGTGTTAAAAGTTAATGTAAAATTACGATGAACTTTAATATTTTCCAAATATTTCTGTTTACCCAGTTAATGTACTAAGTAGCGTAACTGACATGACTAGAGACATTCCTAAAGTGATTAAACACTACTATTTAGTTTTATATTATTTTAATTGTATACAGTTTAATCAGGAAGACTATGAAAATGGCCCCCTGAACATTTGTTCTGGTTACCCATACGTGCAAGAGATTCGGCCCACTTATATACTATGAATATGCGTATTAGTAAACTAAAGAATCACTTCTTTTGACGCACTTAAATATCCTTTATGATCGGGTCTACCTAGTTTTAATCTTGATCATCTTTTTAGTGTTACACGTATTTGGAAATCAATTATTAAATATGTTAGCTTCGATGCGATATTAATAATTGTTATATTTATAACTATTAATAATTAAGTACATCAAAAATAATTATACATAAATCGGTATAATGTCTAATTTGTTTTGACAATAATTGAGGTTATAACCTTTGAATATTATATTATAGTTACCACATACTTAAAATTAATAATTAATGTGACATTATTTCTTAATGGTTACAATTGAAACGATCTTTAACTACAGTGTATAACTATATTTTAACTATAAAATTATATTTTTAACATTTTAATTTGCTAGTTTTGCTATTTTTAAGATATTTTAACGTAATAAAGTATTTGGAAAATAGCATACATTTAATGATACTTTAAATAACGTTTGAACCACAATATTATCACACATATTTATCAATATAAAAAAACTTTAATAAAATGATTTTTTTAAAACAAAAATGGTATCATAATTTTATAACTATTTGACTATAATATAATATACTTATAATATAATATACTATAATATACTTGACCTTAATAATCCATTTTGCTATACAAAAATTAATTTTAGCCGAAATTCACTCAATATGTTTAGAGAATTAAAACAACTAATTTTAAATTAGATTATCAAAAAAAAAAATTATTATTAGATAAAATTTAAGCTCCTTTTAAATTTTAAAATTTTGCTTATTTATTTTAATCAGGAATCGGTTACACTAATCGTATGCCCTAGATAATAATTGAAAAAAATTATTTTCGTTTATTATATTTTTAACCTAAAATGCAGGCTAAAAAATGTTTTGAAATTAGTGATGCCTAATAAATAATTAACAATTTTTAACTATTTATTCTATTTTCAATTAGGATATTTATGAACCTAATTAAAAATAAATGTAATAGACCTTTAATTAAATTTAAAAAATAATTAACTTGTTACTATCATATTATTGGGATGTGATCAGTTAGATCTGGCTCTTCAATGTTAAGATCT